AAGTGGTAGGAAGTGTTTGTGGAGTTTTCAGAGCAGGTTTGAAGAATGAAACAGAATTAGAAAAAATCATGATTTAGATTTTTTTAATGTAGAATTTGAAGTTCAGAGCAGCAGGCCCAGATGACACCAACAGCTGAAGAGTTCAAGTCAAACAGAAGTTTGTTACAGCGACTCGGTGACAGAAACAGAAATAGGCAGCAGACAGTATAGGAGGCCGGTGATATTTGTGACTCCTCCATGAGAGAAAACAGTCTGTGTGTGTGTGCGCGTGCATGTATGTGCGAGTGTGTGTGTTTGTGTGTGTGCCCTTTATTTATTCAAGGACACATTCCTGCTAAGGCTGTGTAGGCCTTGATTCAGTTTATTTCTGTTTAAGTGGGTCACATGCTTCTTTCAATGACAAATGCAGTGTGTGTGTGCGTGCGTGCGTGCGTTCGTGTGTTTGTGTGTGTCCGTGCTGTGGGTGTCCTTCACTGTGGATTTACCCTAGTCCACATTGCTTCATGGTGTGACAAACTTTAATCACGAGTCTATTATCAGCTCTTCGTATCATAGAAGTCACTGCCGTCATGCTTCGGCTTTTTTAAGAATAAGAATAAGAAGAACTTTCCCCCCAAAGGGAAATTCAATATTTTATTGAATATTCAATATTCAATATTTGCTCCAAAAAAAACTGACATCATGTGAAAACTGATAAAAACCAAATCTGAAGATCCGCTGCTAGCAGCATTTTCAAGATCACCTTGTAGCTCCTCAGTTTTCCATCCATGCTTGGATTTTGGTGTCATAAGGCAGCTGCACAGACCCAGTTCTTCCGGTTAAAAATAATGGCGGACCATTGAAAGTGTTTTCTACTGAAGGGCATCCTGAGGTTATTATTAACATATTAATAAGCATATTAACATTTTATACATTAACATTGTATTTAATGAATCCAAGGAGGGACTTTGTTAGTGGGCATTCAGAGGGCACAGTTTATACTACATATTCAAGGGGCCTTAAGGGGTTAAGACTGTGTTCTATCCACTGGTGGATATCCAGAGGGATTTTTTTACGTGATATAAACGAAGAAGGGCATCCAAAAAAAACAATATTTTATATCTAATCTACTGGAAGTGCATCCAGAGGGCACTTTTTGATGTGATATAACCAAAGAAGGGCATTCAGAGGGCACTGTTTTATGTGATATAAACAAAGAAGGGCTCCTAAAAAACACAATTTTATGTCTAATCTACTGGAAGTGCATCCAGAAGGCACTTTTTATCCAGGGGGCATATTTTTGCCACGCTTGAAAATTGAGGGGTGGGCATCCAGAGGACACAGTTTTATGTTGAATCTATCGAGGGGGCATCCAGAGGAGACTTTTAATGTGTAATCTGTTGGAAGGGCATCCAGAGGGCAGGGCTTTACATTAAATATACAGGGTCAGAATCTAGAGGGCACATTTCTCGAGGGCACAGAACTGATTTTGTCCCTGGTGAATACACTTGAGACATCTAGACAACACTTTTTCATGTGTAATTTGTTGGAAGGACATCTAAAAAACAGGATTTTACGCTTTGTATACTGGACAAGCTTCAAGAAGGCTTTCACTAAAAGATCATCCAGAAAACCTTTTTTCAGTCTTTTAATTGGAAACTCTAACCCATGAAAGTCAGGAAACGCTGTTTATTAAGTGACTCTGTGACGATGGATTTATAATGGTATCAGTCAGTATCTCTGTGCTTATAAAAACACATTTTAATCATGAAGCATCAGAGAGGTCAGGTTAAATCTAACAGATCTGAATTTTGCCCAAAATAAATCCCTTTTATTTTGTTTCTTAAGCAGCGAGGACGCAACATAAAACAATGAAAGGATGAATAAAGGTTAAGATATTTATAAAAAAACAAAACCATACACACTGACTTTGGCAAAGATGCGAGCGAATAACTGGATTTGAAAACTTCCAGTCAGTCACACGCTCACCTCTCTAATCTCTAAATAAGGAAACTGCTCAGTGTTGGAAGAGAAATGACAGATTGAAATAACTTCAGCCACATCAGAGACATTGTGAGCCTGAGTGTGAACGCCTTGTCATGCCGGAGCTTCAGTGATTAAAACTCAAAAAATATCTCTGACACAAGTGTTAAGACACGACAAGCATTATTCGTCGCCTGCTTTGAGGAATCACATGACGTAACGTTAGAGAACCGTCCTGTCTGTCAGAACTTCGGACTGCAGCTGAAATGTGCAGAAAATCACAAGCAGATGATGAAAATGTTTTTTTTTATCTTCACTACAGTGGAGCTGTATTTAGTCAGCGCTTCCTCATGACAGTTTTTAAACTTCCTGAAACAACAAATCTGAGATGGAACCTATAATTATCTCTGGGCTCTGAGTGAGATTAAAAACTCCAGAAAGAAGTCAGTTAGAGGAAGTGAAAGTGTTTAGTAAACTATTAAACTTGTTTAACATAAACTGTAAGCTATTAGCCTGACTGAATCATTTAGAGATATTTAGAGACAGGCAGCTCCTCATTAAAGTGCTTACATTACTCTAATGGTCTCTCTGAGGTAGCCATAACAGCCAGAGATGTTGGTGTGGTGAGATTGCGGAGCCTCCTCTGGGTTCAGACTGATATTGGACGAAGGAAACAAGCTTATTATTATTATTATTATTATTATTATTATCATAATTATTATGAGAAGAGCTGTGACACTGATCCGCCTGTATTTCTGTTGAATATGTTTCAAACTGACTAAATGCCTGCTGCTCTGTGGCCTCCTCACGTGCCGAGGGTTAATGCAGCTTTCCCCATGGATTGTACTGTGGATCTGTTAATCTATACTGCCATCTAGTGGTCAAACACAACAGTACAGGACAGTGAGAGTAAGGGTGTAACAGTAGAAGTCAGTTAGTTTGAGGTGTTTTGACAAAAGCCACAAACAACTTTTGTTGTTTATAGAAACTCCAGTGACAGAAAAGGGAGGTAAAGTGTGGAAATAATTCAGCGTTTTATTTTACTTTTGTCTAAAAATGTTTTTTCTCTTTTGTATTTGTATCTGCTGTAATTTTTGAATTTCCCCCTGTGGGTCGAAGAAAGGTATGTCTTGTCTTAAAACCAACTGATGAAGCAACATTGGGGTCCTGAAGAAACCATCCACTTTAACATGGAGTTAATGCATCTTTTCAGATTAATAATGAAGGATAAGGTCATTGAAATAAACCAACTTTAACCAGCTGCAGTAAAGAGACATTAATTTAACTTTAATAAATGTGAGAAAACACATCCTTTCTCTGAAAACAGGATTTTTCCTGATGACTAGTTTGACTTTTTAAATACTCTCTTAACCTTGAGTCACTTTTACCAGCTTTTATTCAACATTCATGTGTATTATATACAAATCTTTATCTTTACTTTGACAAACATTTGTTGAACTGCCTGTTTGTATTCATTAATTATTCATGAAATCTCACACAGCATTTACAGCGCTATCTTTAGGACCAACCCGTAACCGTTTATCAACAACTGTGATTGACTGTCATGTGTATGACGAAGAACCAGAGGTCCGTTTCACGTAGCAGGTTTAGTGGAAACTCCGAGTTTGTTAACCCTGAAATCAGGGAAACTCTGAGTTTTCCGTTTCACAAAGGAGGGTTAGTTAAACCAGGGAGAGAGGGGTAACTCTAACCTGTTTCACGAAGAGAGGTAACTCAACCTCGCGGTCAGTTACCACAGTAACAGACTCCGTGAACCTAACCTGCTCGGGAGCAGGTTTAACTCAGTAAACCCAGAGTTTCAGGTGAGACATCGGCATTTTCTCATTTTGATCATGTTTTACATTGTCAAGTAAGTATTAAGTGGCAGTTTGATCCCTTAAAAATGCTCTTTTCACACTCAAAACTGAATTTTACTCTCTTATTATGTTCCGTTAAATGATTAGGAATATTAAACTAACACAAAAACGGGTGGTGGTCCAGCAGCCCCACCTTTAACGGAGGCAGAGGAGCTGCCCCCCCACCCCCCGTTCGACGATCGCGGCCGGTCCGATCGCAAATCCCCCCCCACAGACACACACGCACACCAGTCCGACGATCGCTGCTACGGGGTGGGGGTTGCGATCGTCGAAGGGGGGGGGGGGGGGGGGCAGCTCCTCTGCCTCCGTTAAAGGTGGGGCTGCTGGGCCACCACCCGTTTTTCTGGCATCTTCCCTCTTTCTGTTTGCTGAGTGAAAGTCTAATATTGAGTGTAGTGTGTGTTAGTTTAATATATGTACATATACATACTGAGAGTTAGTTTAATATTCCTAATCATTTAACGGAACATCATAAGAGAGTAAAATTCATTTTTGAGTGTGAAAAGAGCATTTTCTAAGGGATCAAACTGCCACTTAATACTTACTTCACAATGTAAAACATGATCAAAATGATTCAAGCAGTTTCCCTGCAACAGTCTGTCATTGTGATTGCACGAGACTAGATTTAAAGTTACGCATTGACGCGAGCAGCGATTTCCTCCCAAGCCCTCTCCCTCTCCTTTGCAGCTGCTGCTGTATTGCACTTTCTTTTAAAAACGTGCTGTAATTCGCTGTTGGCTTGCTGCTGCCCCCTCCTTCTCCCTGTTTCCATTGGTTGATCATTGAATCTGCGCTCCACAGATGCTGGCTGTTTATGTCTGGCGTGCACGTGCTTAACTCCAGGTCAAACTACTCGGAGTTGTTAAAACCGTCTCAAATCAGGTATTGTGAAACCGGAAACTCAGAGTTTCCTAACTCAGAGTAGATCAACTCAGAGTTAAGGATTTAACTCAGAGTTTGTTGAACCACCTACGTGAAACGGACCCCAGGAGTACTCCAGATGGAAAAAAAGGGAGTTTGGTTTTAGAATTGTAAACTGACGAGAATAAATCAACACAGATTGAATAAAGTTTGATTTTTAAAAACTTGACTGTTTTGAGCTTGTACAATATTTTAAAGGATGATGTCAGCGAATTAAAATAAAGAACGTGGAGCATGTTATGAAGTTTAACTCCAGCGCAAGTTTAATGAATACCTTACTGCAGATATGATGTCAGTGATTTAAAGAAGCAGAGTCTGTAATGAAGGGAAGCTTATGCAGACTTTTGTCACTGCTTTGTCCTCAACTTCATAAGATCATCCTGAGCCGACAGAGGCTAATGATGAATTTATTTCTTTAAATGTGCGACACTGCTCCTGTAAATTTATGACTTTTTCAATAACCTGATCCAAACAAATATTTTAACATTCATGTCCACTTATTTAACCTTGGGAAGTTGGCAGTAACTTCCCTTTTCCCTGATCCACACATGATATACTGCTCCTTAGGTGAAGTCGTGGTCCTCATCTATCTTTGGCCTTTCAGCTTCAAATAACGACCTGGTCAGGAGTAACTTCACGATTCAGAAATGTTCTTTACAAAATACAAATTTAAGACATTTCGCTTTTTCAAACAAGATTTTTTTTTTTTATTCACGTTACCAAAAAAAACAAAGAACACAAATGTTCACAAATCTGACCATCACAGACTCAAAAATGCTTCAAACACCACAAAGTGTAAAAAGGACATCGACTGAAATCATCTCAAAAGAGGCTCAAAAACACTCTTCAAGACACTCAAACATCATGTGATGACGTTTTCTAAGGGTTTAGATCAGAAACAACGTAAAGTTTCATTTTAGACATTTCAGATTCAAGAACAAAAAACTCTTCTGCTCACTTTGTTTGATTCTAATACTCAGAGGGAAATAAACCAATAAATCAGTCAGGTGGCAAAGAACAGCGTCTATATATTTGTAAGAATAATGAGAAAGAAACCCTCACATATGAGAGAGAGACCTGGAATAAATTATGTTTCTTTTCACCTAAATAAAAAGGGAATAAAGTTCGTCTAAGTCCAAAATTGCAGGAAGATTAGTTTGTTTTTTCTCTTCTGTCAAATGGTTTGATATTGAAAACTGAAAATCTGTGTTGGAGCTGACGTCTGGGTCAAAGGGGGACAGTGCTGACTGAAAGGACTTGACAGGACTACAGATGTTCGAGCCAAACCATTTCAAACCGTCGTGACGGCGCCGTCCTCCGCCCCCACTCAGTTTTACAAACTTCCTGTCCAGTCAGAAAAGAAAAACATTTCTTCATCCCAGGAAACAGTCCAGGTTAGCCGACCCTGAGAGGCGGAGCTACGAGGACAACGCCGTCACCTCTGACAAAAAGCATGGGAATGTTTCTTTTGGTTGACTGAAAAGACAGAAATACAAAATCAGAACTCTGTCCACATCAGCAGCAGGTGTTGGGTGAAGAAACTGTAACATAAAAACACAAGTCCTACCTTATAGAGTTCTTCATACGTCTCCTCATCAATCTCTACTGTTGTTACCGTCTCCTCCACATCACCTAAGATCATATTCAGGTGCTGATCATAAGCCTGGGACAAACACAGACAGCAAGAAGAGACATGTCCACAAGTTTAACACGCAAGCCAGGAAACATGGGATGTATTCATTTAAGCGAACTAAATCAAAGTAAAACGCCTGTGACACGACCATGAAGGAGTTTCAGAGCTGAGGAGCAGGAGGAGGGTTTCTAACTCACATGCAGTCGGCCTCTGAGCTCTCGATCGTTCCTCATCTTGACGTAGATCCTCTCATCCAAACTGAGTCTGATCAGATCCAGAGGCTCCTCCACTGTGTTGGTAGTCGGTTGCTGCAGCACACAGAAAGGAAAGACAGTAGAGAAATGACTAATCATATCATCAATCTTTAAAAAGTAAAGTCAACAAGTTATATTATGTGGACGCGGGCGCTTCATTTATAAGATTCAGGTGGTCAACAAGCAAAGAGATCGGGGAGCATTCAGAACAGTCCTTTTTTCTTTTTTTTACTGTAAAGATTCAGATTTATCTGTTTCCTTTTTATGATAATGAAAAACATGGAAACAAAGTATTTTTTACACTTATCCAAAAATTCACAAGTTTGACAAACAAGTTTCCTCATAGAGAAACTATGACAGTGAAAAAGAGGCACAAAATCCACAGGCGAAACACTCAGATTTTTGATTCAGTGATGCATGAGAAGTCTTATCCTGTGTTTGTCCAAACGTTATCAAATTCATTTGAACAACAACAAGTACCACTCTCTGTTTTCCTCCCAGCATCTCTCCTTCAGGCCCCTAAATGTTGAAAAACAAGTTTGGTTCCTGCTTGTTTGTCCACTGTGAGCTTAAGCAAAAAAAAAAAAAAAACATGGGAGTGTTCCCGACAGCCTCTGAGGACAGGACCCTCCAGGTCATCAGAAATAAAGCAATCCTAACATTTCATTCAAGATATACTAATTTAGACCAACTTCTGCATAGTATATTCAATATCTGTGGGAAAATTATGCTAAACTCTGCAGAATGTACCTTTAAGTCACAACCCATAGGCGGAACAGCCTTTCTTTACATTTCCCATTATTACAGCTGTGTTTCTGAAACTTATTCAGCATATCATAAAGTGAGAATTATACTGAGCAATGAAAAACTCCCTGCTGTTAACAATTCTTAAATGTGAATATACAATATTTACTGTCAGGACAAGCACTAAACCCTAATACTCAACAATTATACGTACTTTCAGGACAGAAAGTCAGATAAAAGTCATATTACACTGACTCCAGCCTAAACTGTGGCAGAAATTAAGTCAATAAAACATCAATATCGATGATCACGTTGAAGCTTCATATGCTAACGAGGCTAACCCAGCTAGCTTACTTCACAGGCCGCTTCCTGCTGTTAGCAGAAATAAACATGAACACAGTGAAACGAGAAGGATCCTAAAATAGGTTCATCATTGAACTGTCAGTTCCCTGTCTATTGAGTTGATTTGAAAGACGCGTTGGTCAATAATATCAGTGAAATATACCGCTGAGACACTGACCTGCTCAACTTCGTCCGCCATTTCATTTGAGTCTGCGACTGCGTAGTGAAGGCTGACTGGTACTTGGGTTGCCTGATCTGCGGACAACACGCGTCAGAGGAAAATACTTCCAATCCACTTGCAGTTTAAAAAAAAGTATTTTTGTTCAGCTCAACGACAACCATTTAGGTTTATTTAACATTATTATATTTCAATAGTGAATTTAGTGCGGACAATAAATACAAAACCTCCACAATATAACTGCGTTAACTCTCAGCAGGGAAAACATTCCTTTTTATCACCTCCACTTCACATCACTTTGCATGTAATCACAGCTTCTTTTTCCTCTAAAATATCTATACAAAAATATCAGAGGAGTTAAATCACTAACTTTGTGTTGTGTTGTTTTATTATTGTTTTATTACGACATAAGCATGTCCTACTGCTTTTTATGCTCAGCCTTTTCAAAGCCTAACTCCAAAATAGGATCAAGCAAAGGATATCTTGAAATAACATTTATATTTGAACCTGTAGGGTAATGTAACTTAAATCAGGAGTTGTGTTTTATATTGACTAGAATTTACAGAAATATAGTTATTGTTTATACAGTACTATGTAACTGCCATTAAGTTGTGGAGAGCCTTTCTATTTGTAGCGTTTTTTTCATAAGAATTTCTGATCTGTCTAACATACAAACCAGCCTACAATATTGTCAACAGAAAATGAAAATACTTAATTACTTCCACCCCTGAGTATGAGTTGAAAGGTTTCAGGACATTTAGAGTTTCTGCTTTTGTTTTTTGGAAACGTGATCATTTACGGAAGGTTAAGTAGGCGGAATAATAGCAAACCTGGCAACCCTCAGCCATGAACTAAGCTGCGGCTCTCTCCTCTCTTTCTCTTTCCAGATCTTTCCATCCTCTACTTCTCCGTCTGTCTTTCGCGGTAGGTGATGTTTTAACACCAAATATCATTGTACGGACCATTGTTAGGCCTTCACACGGCAGAAACGTTATTTATACAGTGTTGACATGTCCGGTTCAGCTGTCCGGTTTGTGGTGTTTTATTACAGTCTGTCGGGTTACAGAGCCCGCTGAGTCCGGAGTTGAGGTTAAAGTGTGAGACACTAAAACACGACGAGCTGAAGGTCAGGGGTAAAACAATGCTGTTATTTAATCTCAACTTTGAGAAAAATGCACGTCAGAGCAGGAGGTTAATGTACCATCTACCTTAGAGGTGTGAGAAGAAAACTGACACTTAAATAAGAATAACCTCTATATTTAAGTGGTTTTTACTGTGAAATAATCGTTTTTAAGGGTTTACCTTTTCATTTAAGTATAAGATCTAGTATAATAGCTGACTATGCAACTGCCACGTGTGCACATGAACCCAAAAGTAGGCTGGACAGTTATAGTATTAAAAGGTTTTCGTGTGTAATATTTTCGGGTTTTGCAGGACTTAAGTAAAAAAAAATTCAAGTGCACGTAAATCGCAACGTTTACTGAGTGTATTCAGTGTTAGTGTGAAGACATGCAGACTGCCCTGTTTGAGCTCTTTTTTTTGCCTTAAGTGTTTGTATATTTTTCTGTAAACCGAGTCCCCTAACAAGACTGCCATGACGTTTGCTTGTACTTTGAATGCAGATTATTCCACTCAAATTGGATCTATTTGAATGTGATGTAATGATCATTCAAGTGCACTGTACATTTTGCTTTATCACTTTGTTGTAAACCGTAGGATAGGTGAATAAGGCCATCACACCCTGGAAGACCAAACAAGAGTCATCAAATCTATAACCTCTATTCTATAAAAGCAGGGGCGCTGTTTAAAATAATTAAAACTAATTTTGTTGTAAATCATTTAAAGTCTTATTTGATTGAAAACAGTGCAGAGACTATAGACCCACTTAAAATAGGACAAAGGAGACCCTGAACTGATGATTTTTAAAAACTCACTGTTGCTCATGTCTGATATTTCTACTTGTGTGTGTGTGTGTGTGTGTGTGTGTGTGTGTGTGTGTGTGTGTGTGTGTGTGTGTTTGTGTGTGTGTGTGTACGCCTCTTGTCCCAGTCCAGCCCAGTGTTTCATACTGGGTGTGTTTGAGGTCTGAGGAGGCAGAGCAGAGCAGAGGTGTTACCCATTCCACCCTCAGCCTCAGTGTGGCTCTGTGGTGGAAGAAGTCCCTGCTACAAAATACTCACTGTACTTCACCTGTTATTCAGACTGTGACATAGCACCTGATTACAAGTTTAAAACAGTTTTACAGTTTAAACAGTTTAAAACATAAGAATTTTCTGATATTGTGTGTGGGACTGTTAGCTGTCTTTAATGCCCAACAACTAAACTTATCCCCATCTATCTCAGTAAGCCATTGTCTGAGGCCGTTTCAGTCATAACTTCCAACATTTGGAAGCTACAGCTCTTCAGATTTGAGTCTTTCTTGCTTTATCTTATTTGTGACAAAAAAGAAGAGTTTCTGAGTTTAAGGTTGTTTGTTGGTCAAACACAGAAATACTGAGACTAAACTGTCCATTTTTTTTGACACCTTACAGACTAATTATTGTCAGTGTGTTGTAAAAAAGCTAATTAAAGACATCTTTCTTCTTCTTTCTTTCTTTTCTTAATCATCATGTCCTGTAGGATCCAGTGAGGATGACGAGGAAACAACAGCAGAACCAAAACAGTCCAACCAAGTTAACAAGTTTGTTTCTGCATTTTTCCAGAACTTTCCAAAAAAAAAATTTCAGGAAATGTTTCTCTCTGCAAGGACTTTTTTTATCCTCAGTATTAAAGAGTAAGATTAAACCCTGGGTAATGCCCTGTTAAAGCATGCAGACTTTGTAAGGTTTAAACTGTTTTTGCAGGAAAACAAAGAGAATATCAGAGGAAATATGACATAGTCAAGGTTTTATTAAGTTTTGACTTGAATAAGATTCACTTATGACATCAAAAGAATAAAGTTGTGTTAAACCTTATGTGTTGTCTGTTAAATCTGTTTCATTTCTTTTGATGCATTTGTATGATAATGTTCAAGTTTTGCAGCAAAGACACCTAAAATCACAAAGTTTAGACCGTGGAACAGAGCAACAAAAACAAATATGGCAGCTTTAATAAAATTACTGTTTCTGTGCTTGAGGTTTAACTAGTTAAAATTTGTGTTTATTGTGTTTGAAAAAGTTGCAGAAACTTTAAAGGAAATTGTTTCCATGGGATTAATAATCCACTCCTGCAGCTCAAAGCTTCCACAGAGACCACTGGACACACCTGCGGATGAGTGTTACCATGGTAACAGCTGCTGCTTAAGTAGAGTAAACACAGCCCACTAAATGTTTCAAACAATGAAGACATTTGCAATGTTCGATTGCGATATGGAATGTCAATATAAGCAGAGTATAATGTCCTGCAAATCATCTGAGGCCCAAATACAATTGAAAATACTGAAACAGTAAAATATTAAGTATTGGACTTTTTAAAACTGTGAAAAACAAAAAACTCACGAAGTCTCTCAGGTTGGTGAACCTCTTCCATCTTTCCTTCTGAGGGACTCAGCCTCTCTGAATGTCAAGTTGGTTGTCCAACAAACAATACTTATAAAAACAAGATGACTTAATTGAAAAAAAAATCTCTGAACAGATTAACATCAGAAACATGGAGAAAAATTTATAGTTTAAGTTTCTGAGTACATGACAGTGTGACAATCACAGTGCCATTTATCATGCATGTATTTGTAAATATTAGTGAGTCTTATTTAGTGTGTTGAGGTTAGATAGATGTAATTACAATAACATCCACAGGGAGGCAGCATTGGAGCGTAATCCCCAAGTTAAGGTCTACAAAATGAATCTAAGTGATCCAAATGAAGAAGAATTCCTCAGTGGAGCACAGATCAGCTGATTACTGCTGGATCAGCTGTCAGTCAGCTGTTTTTGTTCGCACACATTGTTCTTTTACCTGTTCAAAACTCCTGTGATGGTCTTTACATTGTTGTGAAACACCCTGTAATTAACAGTGATACAGACTTAAGACCTTCAGCAACAAGTTTAGAAATGTGCATTTTGAAATTCTGGATGCCTTGAACACCTAAGCAGGTGGAGATGTCAGGCTAAATGATGGACAGCACAAAAAAAGCTTCATTTTTACCTTTTCTTAGAGCACAGGAAGAAAGAGTTAAAGGTTTAACTGTGTCCACAGAGGGCACCAAAATGGACACAGTGAGAAAGTTTCCCACAGGATAAGGACATCTTTTACAAAGTCTCAGGACCTCTAGGAAGTTTATCCAACTTTACATTGAATAAAACTCTGTAACTCTTCAATGTAAAGTTTCAGTGCATGAATAAATTATTGAGATCACGATGTGTAATTTGTGCTGCAGCCACAGGGCGTATCAGTGAGCCCACTGGTGTTGATGCAAACTAAAGACTTAACTTTAAACTTAAAAAAGTTAAAATGTTCATCGATATCTGATCTGAAAGGTTTTTTGCTAATGGGGCCGTTTTGTCCCCTCAAACTGGACATGCTGTCCCCAGTTTACTGCTCTCCAGTCAGACATGTGTCCTCAGCCGTGCGCTAAGTCATGCAAACCTCACACACTCACAGCTCATCACTCGGGCTGCTCGTCTTTATTGTTCGAAGATTACTCACACTGACGCACTAAGAGGAATAACATCATCTGGAGGACCTGCTTCTCAGAGAGACTCAGACGCTGACCCAGATCAGACCTGCTGCCGTGACAACAGCATCTTTGATTTATTGGTCAGAAAGGGACGGGTGCGAGTGTTAATATTGTTAAAGGGATACTGAAGAGACCCAAATAAAAATATTATATTGACTCTGAAGCTGCCAAATACACCCACACTTTAGACTGACAATTATGTCACTTATAAGTTTTCTATTTTGATGTTCCAGGTCGGGATGTTTGACAATAAAGATGACTCATATCCTGAGTCCTGGTTTAGTGGGTGTCAGTCCTCCCAGAGCTGTGGAGGTCAAACGGAAAGGTTTTCTCCTGAGACTCAGACATTTTAAAAAGGGCACTAACTCTGACAGCGTGATTGATGGGCCATAATTTCACATTATGACTCTTTTCCAAAGGACATCAGGTCAGGAGCAGCTGTGCTAAGCAACTTCTCCTCAGTCTGACAGCTCACAGGTGGGAATGATTTAATGTGGTCACACATCAGACCCGGGTCTGAAGGTCCATTCAATCGGTGATGATTTATGCAAAGAAAAATAATGAAGGGGAATGAGAAGTTATTATGAGCAGAGAGAATTAGCTGAGCTTCGTCAGAGCCCATGAGACCAACAGTGGAGGTCAGCCAAGTCATTGTTTGATAAAAAAAATAGGCGAAATCAACATCGTCTAACGCTTCTGTATTTAAGTTCAGCTGGATTTGATCTATTATTTAACATGCAGTTACACATTAACTGAGAGCGGAGTTTTATGAGTTTTTGTCTGTAAAGTCTGATGTTGATGCCAGGAATATCCTTCAGAAAATGGGTGTGACTTTAGTTAGATATGAGGTTAGATAATAAACTTTAGTGTCAGATAGTCACAGAAGATAAAATACAAAAATAAACATGATCCGAGATTCAGCTCCATGTTCATTATAAGACTTTATACTCCCGGTTTAGAGCGAGGTTAGCCCCTGAGATTTGGGATGCTTTTATCATAAACTGATCCAGAGTCTCTGAACTGGTTTACCTACAGTCTTTGATCGGGTCTAAATCTGGTGGAGCAATTTGGACTTCAGGTGGGTCTATAAGTGGAGCATTAAAGTTTGTCGCCACATTCTTTTTTTTTTCCCAGAGGTGACTGCATTTGGACGACGGTAGGTAAATGCTGTTTCTTAGTCCTGACAGACAATTCGTCATTTAAGTAACTCTTCCATGGCCGTGCTGAAAAACTAACTTTATCATAAAAACAACCAACACACCAACACAAAGTTCTGCATGTGATCTTTGAGTTGTATGAGCCAAAAACAGTCATTTAGCATATTTAATTTCAATAAAGTTAAACTTTGCAGATCAGTCATTGCCACAGCGTGCAGAACTGACTCTAAAAGCTGCTCTCTCATATTTCAGAGTTCAAACGTCTCAGTAAAACCCAAAGGAACTGTGCCATCAGACAGTTCTTTCTCCTCTGCACACCCACAGAGTTCTTACTGACACTCCTCCAAGCATGCGAGCAGGATGACGGCACAAAGCGTCCATCCAGTTAAATGACATAACAACATGTTGCTCACAGGCTGGTGGCTCTTACCACCACATCCTGTTGGCCGCTTTAATACAGTCTAAAAATAAAAGAGCAACAACAAGTCTGACTGTTCTGACACTGGCACTGCTCTGCTGACAGCTGTCATTGTTCCTGCTCCATCTGAACACAGTCTGCCCATCTGACACCTTTTCTACCGGAAACCTGCAACAAGCTGAGGCCACCAGGCCATGATCTCCATGATATCTGGAGAAATTTCAACTATTCTGATTCAGGTTTTGATTTTCAAGAGCATCCTTTCGTCCTTTTTTAAAGTATGCAATGACCCAAACCTCCTAAAATATCAGACAACAATTCATCTGCATGATTTTAAACTCATCAAAACAAGAGAAGAAGAATCACTCCATTAAATGACATAAGAGGAAGAAAAGGTGTTCATCATCAGTCTTGACACCTGGGGTCCGTTTCACGTAGCAGGTTTAGTGGAAACTCCGAGTTTGTTAACCCTGAAATCAGGAAAACTCTGAGTTTTCCGTTTCACAAAGGAGGGTTAGTTAAACCAGGGAGAGAGGGGTAACTCTAACCTGTTTCACAAAGAGAGGTAACTCAACCTCGCGGTCAGTTACCACAGTAACAGACTCCGTGAACCTAACCTGCTCGGGAGCAGGGGCCTGTTCTACGAAGCAGGTTCAACTTAGCGAGGTAGGCTTGGAGCTACCTCGCTCAACTTAGCGCGGTAGCCAGCGGTCTCGCTACACGGTTTTACGACGCTGGTTATCAACCTCATAAGTGGATCCAGCTCTGCTATGAGCGCGTGCACACATATAAGGCGGAGCCCGCCGCATCTGACCAATCGCGAACATGAATCAGTCTGGAGCGTCAGAGCAGGCTGGAGAGTGAAGGACCGCGGACTTTACAAACGAGGAACAGGAGACGATCATGAGAAAGTATGAAGAATTGAAAGCTATCATAAACCTCAAAAGCAACTCCGTCGCCGCTACAAAAGCACGGAGGGAATGCTGGCAGAAAAGTAATCTTTGATGTCATTATCACCCTGAAATAGCACTGTTCAACATGCGCTTTTAACTAAGGTGACAGTCCCCGAATTGGATGATCTGTCCCCGGCTAAAGCTGTCCCCGAAAATGTCCCCGATTTAAGCGTTTCATGAATGAGAACAAAAATGTTGCATGTGGGCAAGAACAACGGTTGTTACAGTGGGTAGGAAGCACAAGTAAGCAGTCCTGAACAACAGTCTTTACCGGGTTATTATAAGGGGCGTGCGCTGCTACTAAATAGTACCGAGATGTTGTCTGTGATTGCGCAGCCCATGCCCATTCATTCACAAGATGAATCATTCATTTGTTCATTCCTATCGTGTTTACATGTTTTGTGTAATATGTCGGCCATATAAGCCTTTCATAAAGGTGGTCATCCGGAGAAAACTCTCCCTGAAAACTCTCGCGAGCCGGAGTGCTCCTCCTCGGACAATGCGAGCACCGAGGTCTACAGGATCCTCCAAGAACGGACAAGCCGTTTTTCGAGAGAGCTCATTGGTCAGTGGGCAGGGTTTTTATACTCGGTGAGTTCAATCTGGAACTTAACCTGCCCCGGAGCAGTTTAGCCGTTCAGCGTATGTTGCTATGGAGACTCGCTTTGCTAAGAGGTGAACCCGCGTCGTAGAACAGGAAACCCCGAACTTATCCTCAAAGTTACCTCGCTAAGCAGTAATCCTGCTTCGTAGAACAGGCCCCAGGTTTAACTCAGTAAACCCAGAGTTTCAGGTGAGACATCGGCATTTTCTCATTTTGATCATGTTTTACATTGTCAAGTAAGTATTACAGTTTTTCTCAGTCGCTTTGGTACATTTCTCAGATCAGAATTGAAATTCTCAAAACTACGTGTTCAATCTTCACATCATTGTGTCACTTGTGCACATCAAAAAAGCCGTTTCTCATTTCCTTAAACAACTTGCAAATGCATTGGTACATCCATGCAATTGATTATGTACAATTTTCTGCTGTTTTCTACATTATCAATTGCTTTTGTCATGTTGATCAAAATGTATTATAATGGGTCTCTGTTGAATAGTCTCACCCCCCACAACATTTAGGCATTAGTTCATCGCATAAGTCTTTACATGCAAAATGGTTGAACAGGCTGTCATAATATGTCAAGCATATTTCTATACATTTCCATTAGACGTTTCTGAATCTGTCCTGAATTGGTAAATTGCTCCCAGGTGAATCTTGACTTCCTCTAACGATGGGAAATGTGTGAAGCATTAGATCAACCAATGATCAACCAGTTTTCTGAAATAGCTCAAAGGTGCATCTCATGAACCATCAACTGGCAAGTATATATATTGCCGGAGCACAACACAATGTTACAATGTCTGACAATGGAAGGACAAGGAATTGGACGGGGTCAACAGCCAGAGAGAAGAAGAAGAAGAGGAAGAGGAGTGAGGCTGCGTGGCGGAGGAGTTGGGAGGCAAAACAGAGGAAGAGGCAGAAGAGGTGGAGGATATATGCACGTTCCTGATGAGATAAGAGCTACACTTGTAGACCACGTTCTCAACCATGGGCTTACAATGGCTGAGGCTGGTCGAAGGGTGCAGCCAAATGTTGGGAGAACAACTGTGTCCTCAATCATTCAGACTTTTCGTCGACAGAACAGGTATGTAATCTAACAATAGGCACTGTACTGTAATACTGTATACTTTCAGTAATGCTTCATACAATATTACAGTATTCGACTTACATTTTACAATATAGAGTAAATATACTATATACAGTGACATTTTATCTTACTAAATTTTGTGTTTTGCATTACTATATTTTTTCCCACATAGGACTGCAAGACAACTTCACAGGGGTGGCAGAGGGCCCCTTTTCACACCTGAACAGGAGGAGGCTATTTGTACCATGGTTGTACAAAACAATGCCATAAGACTAAGGGAGATAAAGAGTGCCATTATAGAGGACAACAACATCTTTGAAAACATCCAAACCGTCAGCATCTCAACCATTGACAGGGTGTTGAAAAGACACCAAATGAATATGAAGCAGCTGTACACTGTTCCATTTGAAAGAAATGGTGAAAGAGTGAAGGAGCTGCGCTACCAATATGTACATGTAAAACATGTATGAGCATGCAGTAACTGTACCTCACAGTAAACAGTACTACATCGTATAGTGATATACAGTGCAGTAAATGTGACCTTTACACATTTGCTATGGCTGTAGAAAAGAAGATGCAATATGTGCTGTATACATTTGATGTAACTGTATCTTGTCCAAAATGAAAATGCATGTAATTCATAAAACTCATTTTGTGTCTTCTGGATATAGCGTAAGATGGAACTGGAAGCAAGTGAACCACCGCACAACTTCATCTACATGGATGAGGCTGGCTTCAACCTTACCAAACGTAGAAGGCGTGGTCGAAATATCATCGGCCACAGAGCTACAGTTGATGTGCCAGGCCAACGGGGCGGGAACATAACCATGGGTGCTGCAATCTCTGAGAATGGTGTGCTAACGCATATTCCCATTATTGGTCCATACAATACCGAGCGTCTTGTCACCTTTTTAGACACTCTTTACAGGGATCTCATCCCTGAACAAGAGAGGGGTCAGATTGGAGATGACTTGCCAAAGTATGTTATAGTTTGGGACAATGTCAGTTTCCATCGCTCCAACATCATCAGGCAATGGTTTGGCACCCACAACAGGATGCTGATGGAGTTCCTCCCACCCTATTCCCCATTCCTTAACCCCATTGAGGAATTTTTCTCAGCATGGAGATGGAAAGTATATGATCACCAGCCACATACACAGATGACCCTTCTGGCTGCCATGGATGCAGCATGTGATGGCATCACAGCAGATGCCTGCAGAGGCTGGATAAGACACAGTAAAAGATTCTTTCCACGCTGCATCGCCAGAGAAGATATTCGTTGTGATGTGGATGAGAATTTGTGGCCCAACAGACAGGAACGTCAGGAGGTGTAGGAAGACTGCACTGTAATTCCTACAGCACTGCATTTACAGTTTTCCCTAAGGAAATTGTCCTATGTTCACATTTCTACTTTTGTTTTTTCATTGTGCTCTGCAGTGCTGTCTTTTTCTTTTCTGTATCGCAATAAATATGGTCTGTCATCAAATTACAGTCTCTTGCAATCAATCTCCCACATACACTGAGGTGTAACTTACAATTTACAATGATTGTCATCAAAACTTTAGCCATAGTTTACATCATAACATCCCTCCAGAGTACACTGTTATATTGACAACATGACTAAGCAATTTGACTGTCTTATCCGTACACAATGACACAAGGACTTGTCATTCTGATGGCACTGACATGTTCATTGACACAGATATTTACTTTTGAGAGATGTACTAAGGATTTTGAGCAAGAGACTGACTTTTGCAGCTAATCCATGGTGTTTTGCTATTTGTACAAATTGTTTTGAGAAATGCACTTACTGTTTTGCAAATGTCGAGGATGATTCGAGAAATGTACCAAAGCGACTGAGAAAAACTGTAAGTGGCAATTTGATCCCTTAAAAAATGCTCTTTTCACACTCAAAACTGAATTTTACTCTCTTATTATGTTCCGTTAAATGATTAGGAATATTAAACTAACACAAAAACAGGTGGTGGTCCAGCAGCCCCACCTTTAACGGAGGCAGAGGAGCTGCCCCCCACCCCCCCCGTTCGACGATCGCGGCCGGTCCGATCGCAAATCCCCCCCCCCCCCCTCAGACACACACACACACACACACACACACACACACACACACACACACACACCAGTCCGACGATCGCTGCTACGGGGTGGGGGTTGCGATCGTCGAGGGGGGGGGGGCAGCTCCTCTGCCTCCGTTAAAGGTGGGGCTGCTGGGTCACCACCCGTTTTTCTGGCATCTGCCCTCTTTCTGTTTGCTGAGTGAAAGTCTAATATTGAGTGTAGTGTGTGTTAGTTTAATATATGTACATATACATAATGAGAGTTAGTTTAATATTCCTAATCATTTAACGGAACATCATAAGAGAGTAAAATTCATTTTTGAGTGTGAAAAGAGCATTTTCTAAGGGATCAAACTGCCACTTCATACTTACTTGACAATGTAAAACATGATCAAAATGATTCAAGCAGTTTCCCTGCAACAGTCTGTCATTGTGATTGCACGAGACTAGATTTAAAGTTACGCATTAACGCGAGCAGCGATTTCCTCCCATGCCCTCTCCCTCTCCTTTGCAGCTGCTGCTGTATTGCACTTTCTGTTAAAAACGTGCTGTAATTCGCTGTTGGCTTGCTGCTGCCCCCTCCTTCTCCCTGTTTCCATTGGTTGATCATTGAATCTGCGCTCCACAGATGCTGGCTGTTTATGTCTGGCGTGCACTTGCTTAACTCCAGGTCAAACTACTCGGAGTTGTTAAAACCGTCTCAAATCAGGAGTTGTGAAACCGGAAACTCAGAGTTTCCTAACTCAGAGTAGATCAACTCAGAGTTAAGGATTTAACTCAGAGTTTGTTGAACCACCTACGTGAAACGGACCCCTGCAGCTCACACAGAGCAGTACTGTGTGTTTCTGCTGTTGTTTGCATTTTTGCATGACTCTGCAAAAATAGACTTCAACCTCAAGAAACACAAAGTAAGATAGACTTGTGAACTGATGCACATGAAACACTGCATTTACAAATGTCTGTCTTAATTCAAATCAGTCATGCAAAAAAGGAAAAACTAGTGCAGCATCAGTTTAATTCAGCAGTTTAAATTTCCAGACAATGAAAATCAGCAGGTGATCAATATTTTTTTTTGAACCCGTATCCTGTCAATACAAGCGTTCACATCAGCGACGTTTTCCCATCCCGCGATACTGCAGCATTTACTTTTTCGGATCATGGTCAATTTTTCTAAAGTTTCGCATACTGTGTGTCCACTTCTGACCAATTAGATTGCTGGTTGTTGCGACGTCTGCTTCACCGGTATATCCAACATGGCCGACTGGCTGATTGTTTACGTGTCAGACAGAGTGCTTTTTGATTAAAAAAAAAAAAAAAAACACAAACATTACAAAGATAACGTCCTGAGGGACAACTTGTGGAGAGTCATAGCGTCGGATTTCTCATATGACAATGGTTTGTGTGCTTTAACAGTTTGCTAAAGGTCTTTGGTTTAACTTTTATCTGTGCTAAGTAACTTTAGCTCGTAAGCTAACCTGTGCAGATACAACCAACCATAAGTATTTTTAATGTCTCAAACTCAATCGCATTGCTGTCACAGCACCATTAGGTCTCGGTTGTTACCTTAGGTTTATGGATTATAGTTTAATGTGTTTATCTGATACTGGCCCCAACTCAGTACATGCTATCATGACAGACAGCCATCTCAACATTTGTGTCTAATCAGAACTGAAAAACACTCAGCCTGCTGTTGTGTCATCACAATTCATCTCTGAATATTTCGTAATTTCGTGTTCTATATTCACATCGGCCCCGGTGTGTAAGGACCTTCAAGCACAAAAGTGTTTGTTCATGAAAAAAAGTCTTAGCATCCTGCACATAATTACCTGCTTTTATCAACTTAAATGGATTCATCTTCATCTTGCATACATTTTTTTCAGCAGACAGAGAAATAAAGCAGTTCTTTGTTGAATATCAACATGATACCAGTCTGCTGCCGGAAGATCCACAGATCAGGAAAAACTGTTATTTTTTTAAAGGTTTAGGATGCAGGTATAAGATCTGCTGCTGATGTGTTCAAATCATGACTGGAAGCTGTTATCCAAACATGAACCTCCTCTCTTTTTAAACAGGGTCAGATTTATGCTTCCCTCCAGGATCCTAAAATACTCTGTCAGGAAGGAGACAGGCTAAAGATGAAGGTGCAGAGATGAAGGCTGTGGCAGAAGAGGAATTAATTGTCCTGAAAGAGTGATGGCGGCAGTACCTGTTCGCTCGCTCTGACCCCAGATTAGCCCCGCACTCGTTAAAATGTCATTCAGCCCCTCACATTAGGGCACTGACTGACACTCTGATTTATGTGGGTTTAATTATAGATGAAGCCAAAGTCAATGAGGGGAACTGACATTTACATGAATATGCACATGCGAGCATGTATTCAGGAAAACAAAAAGTGATCCTGATAAGTTTTCCTCTCAGAAAATCCAAATGTACACATATGAGGGTTGAAATTCAAAGTGTTGCAGGAGGATGCAGGCTGGCACCAGGTAACGTATTCAACCATGAAAAGAAGGTTACCTGGTATGTTACTGCACATTTATGTGGAGGTTTTTGTACTGATTGTAACCTGCTCATATCCTGCCATTTAAAAACCATGAGGAGGACACTGATCATGCAAAACAACAAACCTGATTATTCAACTAAATCTTGCAGCTGGGTTTGCATTGAAAGGGGTTGAGGGTGTTTGGCCACATGCATATGTGTTACCAAGAGTTACAAAGTGTGGTGCCTTTAAACTTTCCTGCACCAGATAAAGTTTTCTATGTCAAAACTCACTGTTTTCAAACTTTCTGTCACAGAGAGCGACTTCATTTAGGCTGCAACCCACTGCTAGCTATTTGGAGCAGAGTGAATTAGAGCAGACAGAGATGATAGATATCAGTCACAAGGCTGGACTGCAGTCATCTGCTTCAAGGCTGAGGAAAGGAGAGAGGGGAATGAGGGGAAAATGATAGAAGAAAGAGAGAGAAAGAGGACGCATGTTTGAGAAATGGATGGTAACCTCACAGATTTTATCAAATGAAACCGATCTCAGGTGTTTTCTCTGATTTCTCCTCATTAAGTTGTGTAGACTAAACCTTCATCAGACCCTCATCATTAGTACATGATGCTCTGCTGAACTCCAGTTATTCTCAGCGTGTCTCCATCAGCGGCGACAGAGCGGTGGTCCAATTAGACAGAAAACTCAAAACACTCCTATGAGTGAGATGGAGCTTTAATTACTATTCAGAAAGAGTCAAAATTACAGCGCTGATATAAAGAAACATTATCAAATATCCACTGTGAAGCTTTACTGGGGGAAACATGCCAAGTGTGCCCTTCCAGCTGATGAAAAAGTGCCCTCTCAATACCCTTCTGGTCTATAAAACCAAACACCTGTACCTCTGGATTCTCTTCCTGCATTTAGGCTGTATTGGCTGAGCGAGATCGTGTTGGTTCGCTCCACTTCAGTGAGGCAACATAAATTGTGATTCATAAAATAGCTCTATTGTTAATAAGTACTAAAAAAAAATATCTACTCATGCCATCCGGTTGATTTTTAGTAATCAGTGTTTCGGTGTCGAACTATTTCCTTTCTGCGGCGTAGTGATACTTGCACACGTGCAATCGAATATGCGGAGGGGTGAAGCGATTTTTGTCACGTGGACCAATAAGAGCAGAGTCTCGTTGCCATAGTATCAGAAATACACAAACATGGCGACGAGCGCATCTGGCAGCGGGACAAGCGAAGAGGAAGAAAAGAAGAGGAAAAAAAAAAAAAAACAGCCTTCAAAAGTGCATAAAAAAGGAACGAAACGATGCTTTCATTTGTCCAGAGTGAAGACATTCTCGACTTTACAAGGACACATTGGGAAACTTACAGAACTAGTATTAAAAAGTGGCTTTCTCTACAGGGTGAGACAAAGGACCAGCCAGAAATGTACATATATGTGAGTAACACAAAAAACAATGATATGGTGCTGCTGTTTTTGCTTGTATAAACTGCTATGTTGATTCTGGCAAAACAAAATCTTTCTCAAATGTCATAAATACATCTACCTAACAACAGTTATTGGTGCCTTAGTATACGCATAAGTGAATTCAGATTATGAAATGTAGCAAATTTCCCGAAGAAAACGTCTCAAGTGATTTGCACCCAGCACAATGAAATATATACATTAATTTAGCTAAAAGCTTATGTTTCATACATAAAAATGACACAATCTACTGTGTAATAAAAACAATAAAATATAAACAACACATCGTGGCCATAAATGGCTGAAAGTCAATCAAATTGCTACCAAGTATCACAGTGTCAAAACCTCTGACATTTATCACTCCCTCTAGAATATGAAAATAAAGATCAAAACACAAACGCAGACAAATGTAGAACAAATATAAAAATAATAAAAATCTCAAATCTCGGTGTAGCAATCCTTTACACAAAACAAATTGTACATGGTGACATGGTGCGTATATTACACATCACTATCACTTTCATCAGAGTCATCATCCCATACAGCTCTTTCCTCTGTTTCCTTTGAAGCATTCTCACATGCTTGGCACCGACATAAATCTGTAAAAGATAGTCTTGAAAAGCGCTTTACAAATAAAATGTATTATCATTATTATCATTATCAATAGAGCTATTTTATGAATCACAGTTTATGTTGCCCCACTGAAGTGGAACGAGATTCACTTTCCAGGCACTTTTTCCTCTGTCCCAATACAGCCTATTTAATCGATGGTGAGATACAGAGACCTGCTGACAAATGAGAGCTCCACTTCAAAAATTAGCTGCTTCTTTGCGTGTGAGGAATGCCCCTGCTCTTCATGTTGTATATTTTACACAGAACTACATAAATTCAGGAATTGTGAAGTTGTCACTGAAGTCTTTGTGATTTATCACCTGAGCAGACACAAAAGTCAGCTGATCCTTTAAGCCACAGTGGTTAGGTTGGAAAGTCTCTTTCTAGGTTTCTCTTTCTAATTGACCGAACCAATTAAAAAAAGTACTTTACACTAAAGCCAATGTTCATCATGCATTTCCCTGCTTTAAAAAGGACAACACAGTCTCATTACAGTTCAGAGAAAAGATGATTAGTTAGCAGTCTGTTATTCCTGTTTTAAAAGAATATGCAGCAATCAGAGGTTTTAATTTGCTGCTATA